CATTTTCACCAGCACCTGGTGTTGCCAGTGTTCTGGATTTTGGGCATTTTAATAAGTGTGGAGTCGTATTTCTGTGTTGTTTTAATGTGTATTTCCTTGATCTACTATGATATATCTTTTCATATGCTTCTTTTCCATTTGTGTATCTTCTTTGGTGAGGTGGGAAGGTCTATGGCCTATTTTTGAATAAGGTTATTTGTTTTCTTATTGTTGAGTTTTAAGAGTTCTTTGTATGTTCTTGATAACAGTCCTTTATCAGCAAAGCCTTCCAAAAACATTTTCTACCAGTCTGTAACTTGTCTTTTCAGTCTCTTAATTTTCAGCTCATTTTCAATTACGTTTTGACCCTTTTCTTAATGAATTCTTTAAGTATTAAGAAAATTAGTTCTTTGCCAAGTAAATGTTCAAATATATTTTCTCAGTTTGCTACCTGGGTTTTAACTTCATTAATATTTTCCTTGAGCAAAATTTTCTCTTTTTTAAAAATCTAATTGAATATTTCCTGCATGATCTCTGCATTCTGTCACCTAAAATATCCTCCTTTTCCTTTAAAATTTTTACCCTTTCTTCTAGCATTATAAAGAAAAATTTTTAAGTACTGGAAATACCTGGTCTTCGTTTTGGTATAATGAGTATCAAAGGCATATAATTATTCTTCTTTTTCTTTTTAATTCTTATTCATTTACATGGTTAAGCACCAGCCCCCCAAACAAAACAAACTAAATAATTTCTCACCAAAGGCAATGTTTTATAGGGTTTTGGAGATCTTCTTTCTAGACTCTTTTCTGTTTGATCTATTCATGCACTTACATAAATTTGTTGTTATTATTTTCATAGAATAAAATACATGTAACTATTTGGGGACATTAGTTTTTTCTCTCTACTTTTATTTTTTAAAAATTTTCTTGGTCTGTCTTGTAATGCTTATTTTTCCCTTATAAGTTTTAAAGTAAAAATGTGGGGACCATGGGTATATTTAGTAAGTGTTCTGGATAGGCACACATCTTTTTTATGTTTCCAAGTCTGGTGTTCTGTGTAGAACTTTTATAGTTAGGTTTATCCACAGATTTATTTCTGTCTTTTTAATTTTTTTAAGTGGAATATTTTAATCTTCTGTTTCCATCATGTTTAATAGTTATGTGTATTTAGGAAATAAGTTGATTGTTTTTATATTATTTTGTGTCAATCAACCCCCCCCCCCAAGAGTTACTTTATTTTTATATTTTTAATTGATTCTCTTGAGTTTTTCAGGGCATATTCATAATCTCTGGGGGGAAAAAAATCTTAATTTTTCCATCTGCTTTCCAATTTTTTTTTTTTTATATTTTTTTTCAACGTTTATTTATTTTTGGGACAGAGAGAGACAGAGCATGAACGGGGGAGGGGCAGAGAGAGAGGGAGACACAGAATCGGAAACAGGTTCCAGGCTCTGAGCCATCAGCCCAGAGCCTGACGCGGGGCTCGAACTCACGGACCGCGAGATTGCGACCTGGCTGAAGTCGGACGCCTAACCGACTGCGCCACCCAGGCGCCCCAATCTGCTTTCCAATTTTTACTTCTTTCTCTTTTCAACTACATTAACTAGTACTTACAGATCAACGTTAACTAAGACTGGAGTTAATGTGCTATCCTTTGTTGTTTTTTACTACAACAGAAATACTTCTAGTGTTTCAGAATTTGAGTATTATGCTGGCTGAGAGTCTGATATCTCTTTTTCTTTATTCTATACCAGTTCTTCCATAAGGATGTTATTTCAACCTCTTCTAGAAGAATTATTACCCATGTGCAATTTCAATCTATGGATTAAATTCAGGAATGTCTTCTATGATACCTTTGTGTTGTTTTTCCTGTTACATTTGGTGTTTGGTTTTTGTTTTTTCCTATTCTAATTCTTCTCGTGGTCCTACCTTCAGGAACACCAGAGTTTCATATAGGGATCTCCCTTGCTTGTTTCCATAACCATCATTTTTTAAAATTTACAGTTCAGTTATATGGTCTTAAACTGTTCTATCACTGCCTCTTCTTCACAAGATATTTTTCCATTTTTAGTTCTAATGTTAATTCTACTTCTTCTTGTTTTCCAATTCCCCTCCATTTGAGCTCTGCCAAATCATTCATTCAATTCATGAGTTAAGCTTATTCAATATTCTTAACTCTTCTTTCTGTTTTTGGTTTGGAAATATCATATTTCCTTTACTATTTTTAGTTTCTTGGAGAAATGTTTGCCCTTACTTTCGTATCAACTCTAGGCTTGGGGCAGTACTATACTTAAGCTTGGCTGAAACTCACTAACTAGTTCATAGGGAAGCTCCTTGTGTCCTGGTATGTGTGTAGTGATTTAGAATTCTTGTCCACTGGCCACCAACCGTTAGTCCATCAGTCCATCAAACTGGTAGTCCTTTCTTGGCAGTAATGGCATAGTGAGCTTCTTATTCAGTCTTGCCTATTATGCCATTCTGTTTTCAAACAAACTCAAAGATGTTCCAGCAGCCCTTTCTCTTAACTCAGACCATGCCATAGTGATGAGGTGTCATTAGCTTAGCCCTCACAAAGTTCAGGCTACTCAGAAATTTTGAGTGTTCACAGAAGTTGCAAAGACAGAACACCCTTCTAAGTGTCTTCCTTCAGTTAGTTAATTTTATCACATTCTCTAAATCTCTAAATCATTTGCGACTTGAGACTGTGACTGTTTCCTATTGTCATGAAAGAATAGACTTTCATTTGTATTTTTCATTCTTATTGATATCAGTCTGTTTGAAAGCAACAAGTAGGGCAGATCTATCATCTTCAACTTGCAAGTTCTGGCAGTAATTCTGCTACAATTAAGCAGAATTGTTGGCATTGACCATTTACTCTTAATTTCATTAGCTTCACTGATGTGGTGGAAAGTTTGAGCAAAACATAGGTCAAAATACCTGATTTTTGTCCCTTCTTCCCTGAGACTTTAACTTTCTTAATCATATATATTTATTCATATATATTCTTATATATAATTCTTAAATGCAAGAGACATTAATAACCAATTTAATGTAAAGCTTAATCTATGGCCTAATAAGTTATAACATATAGGTAATTGCCATTTTGTTGTTAGATAGGCTATTTCTAATAGAATCTAAGCATCTGACAAATGATCTACTGATTTTTAAATGTGTTTGCTTATTTCAAACAACTAAATGGGAATATTAGGCTCTATGCAATGGTAGGTACTTTCCTAATTATACTTTTAATTGACTGGTCAACATTAAATTAAATGTCTACAGCACGTTAACTCAGTGACAGCAGGAGACACCTCAAGTTGCCTTGGAGGCTCATTTAATTACTTAGTGCGGGCCAAGTAACTAACATAACTATAATACTTCAGGAAAAGAGATCAGGAAATCACTAGGATAAGAATAGTCAGAAAAGAATAAAACAGGGATTGAACTGGATATAGAATCAGAAGTGAACACATATACAGACACATACATGTAAGGAGTTGTAGGAACCTGGAGGATCAAGGCAAGATGTCAAGCAACCATTAACGAGACCAAGACCGACCAAGACAGGACCAATACCACGAGATGAAGAAAAGAAAGATTACTGGTGTGGCTGAGAGAAAATACAACTGTCTAAGTACAAACAGGGGAAGGACTGGACATATCCTAAAAATGGTGACCAAAGGAACGCTATAGAGAAACTACTGTCTAGATAAGTCAAGTGTTCATTTGTTTACTCATTTATTTAAACTATACCCTGCACTAAAAAGGCTTTAAAACCAGCTTTCAAAATCCACAGATAGCAAAATCACTAGGTAGCAATGAAGGAAGGAAAATAATGGGGGAGAGAAAAAGACGAAGCCAGCGGGTTATGGTAGTAAGCAACGTGCCTGCCGCACAGTCCTATTCATGTTCCCAGGAGCCAAAGCAAACAGGCACATGTGATCTGGTATAAGATTTCCAGGGCCACGAGGAAAGCCACTGAGCTGCTCGCCAGCAGCACATGGGTTGAGACTTCTGTGAAATTTATCTTATGTGTTTTTAATCAAGAGAACAGACTGTGTGATGGAGGAGATGACACTTTCAATGTCATTTCTACAATAAATATGATATAAAATTCTGACTGATGCTACCATAATTTCACTCCGTTTAGTCCAAGTCATAACTGCATAAATAGTTCAGAAAAAGCAATTATGCAAATGATCCAGATAAGACACTCCCAGATGGTCTGGCTTATCCAAGAGCAAAATTTAGAATATCCAGAGAACATCATATCCTTTAGATAATCCTCAATGAATAATCCTCAATGAATATTTTCACAACAAGTAAATCACACATGAGAAAGTCCTTCATAATACAGTCATTATTTACCCAGAGATAATTTGACAAATAATTTCTGTCTAGAACATGCAGCCAATTAATTACACGTTTTCTAAACTACTCATGATTAAATACCATCTACTTAATTTTTTCTGGTCCTTCCTTTTTTTCCCCCCCTCTGGGGAGATTTATTCCATTTTATAAAATGTGAAAGAGAATTATTCTTAGGTATAGCTCCCTGGGTTGCTATTTAGATTTTGTTTATAGGGTAATTCTAAAAATGCTATGAACTTGGAGAGATTACAAGTATGCTTTTCTCTCACTAAAGTAAGTATATGAATTCAAAATCCCAAAACTCCAGCTACTGGGTAAGTTTCTTGTTCCCCCATTGGAGGTGGAAACAGTTCTACTGACTTAGAGAAGTAGTGTCCTCTCACGGAGACTAACTGATGCTATGGCTTTTGGACAGCGAAGTTTCAATTCACTCTAGTAGTACAGGGCCTAAACATGAGTAAAACAGAAATAATGTCAGGAAACCCACAAAAGCTCAAATGCCTTAAGTAGAAAATCTTATGCTTGAGCGTAGCTCATTCTAGGTTGTATACATATGAATCTCAGGACTTAGTACAGCAGAGTCTTAAGTACTTTCTAGCCCATGGCTTGGACAGTGAGACACACACACAGTTAACGGTTATAAAATGTTACCTCAAATTGGCAGCCTTCCCCGTCTTGTTAGTACACGTAACCTCTCTGGTCTGATATCCAATCTGGATATCCCAATATTTGTTCTCTTGTCGGTTCTGTCTGTTCCTGTTTCTTTTCTTCTTAATAAGTTCACGGGCTTCTGGATCCTTCACTCCTTTTCCTCGGTCCTTTTCCCGTTCTTTATTCTTCCCACGTCTCCTTGCCTGTCTTACTTGTCTGGAGTGAGGCATTGAGCACGAGCTCCAGGGCCCCACATGCAAGCTGTACATGGTCTCTTCATCCTCACATGGGCTGGACTGGCACACCTGAAACTCTGTCAAGTTCGGGCAGCCGGAGCCTCCAAACTGGGGTGGTGCTACCACATGCCGTGTCCGGTGCTGGAGCCCACTGCCACACGTCTTGGAGCATTCTGACCAGGCAGAAAACTCAGACACGATGCAGTCTTGCTGGCAGGGGATGAGACAGGCCTGTTCCAGGAGAGGTTTGGGCTCAAAGTACTCACAAATGATATCCTCTGCTGGAATGTCTTTCTCTTTCTGGATGCATGTTATCTCTCTCACCTGAATGCCTTCCTCCCCCTTAACGCACTCAAGGGGTTTCTCCAGGCTTTTGGAAATCACAGGCTGACAGTGATTCCAGGGTCCCAGCCTCCAGTCATACAACTCCTTGTGCCAGTCACACACTTTGAAACAGTTTTGCTGATTACTGGGTCTCTCGGCCTGTTTACAGTTTGTGTGTAACGTTGTCCAGCCTTCCACATGAGCACACCACACAGCCCGGGTTTGAATGCCTCCTGGGCCACATTCATCTCCCATGCATCGGCCCCACGGACCTGAAAATGATACAAGAGTTAACAGTGCCACTGGAAGAAAACTGTAAATTATTTCACTTTCCGGAAAGACATGTCAAGATCTAGTACGTTAAGTCTCCCTGAAGTGTTATAAAGTAGGTCTCTGCACATGACTGCTGGAAGGTAATGATCTGCACTCAGTAGTTTTGCAAAGGGAGAAGTATGTCACAGAGTCTATATACGGTAACTTCTGGGACACGTTCATTTCAGGTCCTTTTGGGATTATTAGGATTGCTTTTCTTCATTTCCTTAATTTTAGGTGGAGGACCCTTGCTCATAAAGGACATCAGGAATTAGTCACAGTGCAAACATTACTCCTCGTCTTGTAACTATCAAATCCATGTCAGTAACAGGCAAGGAAGGTGGCCCCTTGTGAACAACTTCAGCTCCTATAGGCTTCTCTTTTCCAGAGCAGTTAAGGATTTTGTAGAACGTATTCTCCTCTTTCTCATTTTCTAATTCTGCACATACTGTGACTACAAGAGTCTAGCGGGTATATATGCGTGTACTGACAGAAGTGTTAACTTTCTGGTAACCAAAGCTGGGAAGTGACAAATTTTCATTTAAGCACATACTGCCTTTAAATTTACTCCCCTCCAAATTAATTTTTTCTCATCTCCCCAGTGAAGGATAAAGATGGGCAGGAGAATTAAAATTTAACTAAAGAACTCTTATGATTTTCTGTATGTTAAAGGGTTTTTGGGAGTTTTAATCAATTTATTTGTTTCCTAAATAGAAACTATTGGGGATTATATAGCTGTTTTATGGAACACTTAAGTCAGTGGCTTTAGAATGAAGTGTGAGCTTTTTAGCTTAGAATCCTTCTTAGCATAAACTGAAACCTTCTTATTTGCACATTTTTTTAATTACAAAAGGAATTCCAGTGTTTTGAGAGACGTCTCAATTTGTGAAATTGAGAATTATTTTGGAATCTTAAAGAAACAAAATGATCATATATAATTGCATGATTTTCAAAATATGGTCCATGGAATTTGAGGGATTATTTGGCATAGCCTAGAGTCATCTTCAACAGGTGGTATCAGAAGGTGAGGACCAGCATAAAGGATTGGGCTCTAGGGTCCCCAGCCAAACTCCACTGCCCTTCTGCATCATTGTTGTTCAATAAGAAAAGCTCCGTTATTATTATTTATTTATACATATGCTGATATTATGCATAAGATTTTGTCAGACATGAGACTTCTGCTGGAAAGTGAAAACCATGAAACGAAGCCAACAGATTCACTCCACTGATGAGAAAAACAGGTGACAAGAAGGGGAAGTGATTTTCCAAGTTCACATCTTGAATGAATAAAAAAAAAATATGCTGGATTTCAGATTCTTGTCCTGACTTATAGTTTTATGATTTAGCCTAGATCTCAGCGCTTGAGACTTAGATATTCCTATGCAAAATAACTAATCTAGAAAGAATGCAATAAGAAGAATGTGTTCATTATGTGTAAACATTTAATTTTGTTTAACTAGGAACATGTTTACAATTTGATGATGCCAACTTCATTACAAATGGAATAACGGAGTTGTAAACAGGACAATATTTTCAGTCAATATCCTTTCTAATCATTATTACATGAAACTATGAAATGGATATTTGGCATATCCATTTCAGTACTTTATGAAGTTCACATGTAGAGTTATAAGGGACTTAAAACACATTTAGGGAAATAGTCTTCCCAGAGTGATGTCAAAACTTTATGAGCTAAGAAAGTCAGTGAGTTTGCTACAACTGTCATCATGCAATATCTGATGATATCTTAATTTTATTTTTAATTCGTCAAAGGGAATTATACATTCATGTGTCTTGATGCTCTGAGAAATTTTCTAAATATACAGTTTGGAAATCTAAACCTAGATGCTTTTCAAAGGAACACAGGGATATGTAAAAAAATTTTAGATTTAATTCCATACATCTGTGGCATTTTTTCCTGTTTCCTACTGTGCTTAAACAAAACAATAATCTCTATTCCCACTCTAAACAAAGAATATAAAGGTATATTTATGTTGGACCATCAAGTTAGGAGCAAACCATATATACACATATAAATTTCAAAGTGTAAGTGTCTTGAAATAACCCAGAGTCTAAACCCCAGAGGCAATTAAGCAAAATTCCTTGATATTTTATTGTTTTCCAATCTTTGATGTTAATTATGAGATTAGACTAATGAATCAGATTAGGACTATTAAGAAGCTAGTCTCTTTTTAAAGTTTAAATTTAAATTCCACTTAGGTATACAGTGTAATATTAGTTTCAGGTGTGCAATTTAGTGATTCAATACTTACAACACTCAGCCATCATCACAAGTGGCACTCCTTAATCCTAATCACCTATGTAATCCATCGCCACATCCTCCCCCCAACATTCCTTCTGGTAACTATTAGTTTGTTCTCTATAGTTAAGAGTGTGTTTCTTGGTTTGCCTTTATCTCTCTTTTCCCTGTGCTTGTTTGTTTCTTAAATTTCACATATGAATGAAATCACATAGTATTTCTCTTTTTCCTACTGAGTTGCTTCACTTAGTATAATACTCTTTAGCTCCATCCACGTCATTGCAAATGGCAAGATTTTATTCTTTTATATGGCTAATATTCTATTATGTGTGTGTGTGTCACATCTTCCTTATTCACTCATCTTCCTCATTCATCCATTCATTCATCATTCATTCATTCATTCATGAGACATTTGGGCTCTTTCCATAATTTGGCTATTATAGATAATGCTGCTATAAACATAGGGAAGTATGTATCCCTCTGAATTAGTATTTTTGTATTCTTTGGGTAAATACTTAGTAGTACAACTGCTGGATCATAGAGTAGTTCTATTTTTAACTTTCTGAGAAACTTTCATACTCTTTTCCAAAGTAGTTGCACAGTTTGCATTCCCAACAGCAGTGCAAAAGGGTTCTCCCTTTCCCCACATCCTTGAAGTATGGTTAGAGAGAACATACCTCAACATAATAAAGGCCATATATTTTTTTTTAATTTTTTTTCAACGTTTATTTATTTTTGGGACAGAGAGAGACAGAGCATGAATGGGGGAGGGGCAGAGAGAGAGGGAGACACAGAATCAGAAACAGGCTCCAGGCTCTGAGCCATCAGCCCAGAGCCTGACGCGGGGCTCGAACTCACGGACCGCGAGATCATGACCTGGCTGAAGTCGGACGCTTAACCGACTGCGCCACCCAGGCGCCCCATAAAGGCCATATATTAAATACCCAGAGTTAATGTCATCCTCAATGGGGAAAAACTGAGAGGTATTGCTCTATGGTCAGGAAAAAGACAGTGATGCCCAATCTTACCACTGTTATTTAACCTAGTACTAGAAGTCTTAACCACAGCAATCAGACATAAAAAAGAAGCAAAAGGGGAGCACCTGGGTGGCTCAGTTGGTTAAGCGCCTGACTTTGGCTCAGGTCATGATCTCACAGCTTGTGAGTTCGAGCCCCGTGTCGGACTCTGTGCTGACAGCTCAGAGCCTGGAGTCTGCTTCAGATTCTATGTCTTCCTCTTCCCTGTGCCCCTCCCCTGCTTGCACTATGTCTCTCTCTCTCTCACTCAAAAATAAATAAACTTAAAACATTTTTTTAATTAAAAAAAAATAAAAGGCATCCAAATCAGCAAGGACAAAGTGAAATTTTCCCTGTTTGCAAATGACATGATACTCTATATAAAAAAATGCAAAAGACTCCACCAAAAAACTGCTAGAAGTGATACACAAATTCAACAGTTGTAGGATACAAAATCAACATACAAAAATCTATTGCATTTCTATATACCAATAATGAAGCAGCAGAAAGAGAAATTAAGGAACCAATTCCATTTACAATTGCACCAAAAACAGTAAGATACCCAGGAATCAACCTAACCCAAGAGGTGAAAGACCTGTGCTCTGAAAAATATAAAACATTGATGAAAGAAACTGAAGATGACACAAATAATGGAAAGACATTTGATGCTCATGGATTGGGAGAACAAACTGTTAAAATGTCTCTACTACCCAAAGGAATCTACACATTTAATGCAAGCCCTGTCAAAATACCACCAGCATTTTTCACACAGCTAGAACCATCCTCAAGTTTATATGGAATTACAAAAGGATACCAAATAGCCAGAGCAATCTATAAAAAGCAAAGCAAAGCTAGAGGTGTCAAAATTCCAGGCTTCAAGCTGTATTGCAAAGCTGTAGCAATCAAAACAGTATGGTACCAGCACACACACACACACACACACACACACACACACACACAAACATAGATCAATGAAACAAAAAAGAAAATACAGTTATGAAACCCCAACTATATGGTCAGTTGATCTTAAACAAAGCAGGAAAGAATATCCAATGGGAAAAAGACTATCTTCAACAAACAGCATCAGGAAAACTGGACAGCAACATCGAAAGAATGAAACTGGACCACATTCTTACACCATACACAAAAATAAATTCAAAATGGATGAAAGACCTGAATGTGAGACCTGAAACCATACAAATACTAGAGGAGAACACAGGCAGTTACTTCTTTGTCAATGGCCATAGCAACTTCTTTCTAGATGTGCCTTCTGAGGCAAGGGAAACAAAAGCAAAAATAAACTATTTGGTCTACATCAAGACAAAAAGCTTATGTAGAGTGAAGGAAACAATCAACAAAACTAACATGCAACCTATGGAATGGAAGAAGATATTTGCAAATGGTATATCTAATAAACAGTATCCAAAATCTATAAAGAAGTTATCAAATTCAACACCCCCAAAAATAATCCAACGAAAAACTGGCAGAAGACATGAACGGACATTTTCCTAAAGAAGACATCCAGATGGCCAACAGACATGAGAAGATGCTCAACATCAGTGATCATCAGGGAAATACAAATCACAACTACAGTGCAGTATCACCTCATATTTGTCAGAATAGCTAAAGTCAACAATACAAGAAGTGAGGCCTTTATCCTCAAAGTACAAACAAAAACAAAAAATTCATAGCAAAGTTATAAATTTAGAACTTATTTGGACTTTTAATATACGTTTAGGTACTATTAATGGATGCATTTTAATTGATAAAAACTAATATTTTATTACAGAAATCTTAGTATACAAAGTGTGAAATGATTTCAAGTCTGCTAGTTATTGCTGAGTAAGGAAATACACCTACCAAAACCAAAACCTCCAAAGTTATGAAGCAGAACTATGTAACAGTAGATAATTATTAAATTTTAAAAATGCCCTAGAAAAGAAATGACAAAGATATGAAACTTACAAGCCAAGTTATAGCTACAACTCCAGGCTTACATCTAAATTTATTCAAAAATAAAAGTGTATGATGGTTATTTTGAAAATGACTCATGGTTTACTAATACTGTATTAGAGTTCCCTTTTGACATATTCTCAGAATATGTGTTTCTCACATTATGTTTAACACAATTTCAATCAATTGATTGAATAACTGTTTGCCTATTGCATTAGACTGACTCTATGACCCCTATAGTAGAGAATTTGCCGGTCTTCTGCAACATTTGGTTTGATTTTGTTTTAATTTTCAGGTCTGGCTTTTGTATGAATTTCAACTGTTTTGCTCAGAAAAGAGAGAATTAAGTTTTCAGACCATAATATTCAAAGCATTTACATGACTGATGTCAGTGCCAGGAGAAGGAAAGAAATCGAGTTCAAGAAAATTTCTATACTATTTCATATACAGTAAAAATGAGCAGGCAATTCTAAAGTTTAGATAACTACTAAAGGCATTAATTCTAAATACAATACAACTGAATTTCTTTCCAAAATCTATTACCATAGATTCTATTAACCAGCTATTCACAGACAACACTCTTGGGTGTATTTTATTCCAAGTATATTTACATTGAGAACCAGGAGATAGGGTATCCCCAGAAAATTCCATGGAGATCTACAAAAATACTCACTAGGTAAGGTAAAATAAAATGCATGAAGTCACCAGTGAAAGTAGAGGTGGCAATTTTACCACAGTTGAACCTGAAAAAGCTCATTTGCTTTGCAGACTTTGACTGCTGTCTTATCTTTTCACTACACCTTGGGTATTGCATGTGTGTCCAATTAATAGACCTCTTCAAAAAAAACCCACATCTTTACCATTGTACACCCGACGAAGGACTGTCTACTTCTGTCCTCCAGTCTTAAAATAATCACACACTGAACAGGAAGGAGACCACATCTAAAACTGTTCTTGACAGCTAAGAATTGTGAACCCAATTAGCTACCATGTTGCAAGAAAAACAAATGTTTGAAAGTGCAATTGGGAAGCACAATATGCAAACTCTATCAAGCAAAATATGAAGTCCTCTCCCAAGTACAATATGAGAATGTGATATTTACCTCCTATGTGTCTGCATAAATGTTAAACTGGACCCTTATAGCTCATATTACCAGGAATGGGAAGTAGCAGTGTTGGAAAGGTGGTGTGTGTGTGTGTGTGTGTGTGTGTGTGTGTGTGTGTGTAGGGATGTTCACTTTTTAATAAGAACAGAAATATTTCCTTATTTCATTTATTGTTCTTGTTCATGATTACATAGGGGGAACTTGGAATCTAACGGGAAAAAAAAAACAAAGGATAACCAGCTTTCTGCTTAAGGTCTTGGATAATATCTCTTTATGAATGGAAATGTATTCCTACATACAGATTTGTAGGATTGTGCTCGTTCAGTATCATGCAATACTTTTCTAGGATT